GACCATAATTCCATTTCAATCTACATAAAAAAGAAAAAATAGCAGTATACATGTACAATCATAATACCTTAAAAAGTACCTTTTCTTGTACTTCTTGCTTTTCTTTGATTCCTTTCTTACTTTCTATTAGTTTGCGCTAACTTTTATCTTCTTGCTTAAATTTTTAAAATAAAATTGCACACACACACACACACACACACACGAAATGTGATTATGGTCCCATTCATATCCCTTTTTAACTGCACAACAGCAAATTATTATACAGAGTCCGGCTGCATATAAAATCCAGTACAGTGAAAGGATAAAGTTATTTTAAAAAAATCAGCTATGATCAAGATGCAAAACAGTTACTGTACTTATGTCTCAATAATAAGATCATGAATTCCTTTAATCAGGTGACAGCTCCCAGCTGCTATTCAGTTCAAGTCTAATTACTTCATTTACACAAAAACCCTCCAATGCATTGGCTCTGAGTCTGTTTTGAAGATGGTTGCTGTACACCACAAATGAAAATGCTAATAGTACTAACAATTATTCAAACAAGAACATTTGCCTATCCCAGTTTCTTGGGAAAGACTCAACAGGTGAGTCTGCGAAATCCAATTAAACAGACTGATTGTCCAACCACCCATAATAATAGCAATAGATCAAAACCACCAGAAATCTCATAAAGTTACCAAGTTACATAGACTTTAGTAATCTTTCCATGTAGGATTTCATATAAAAATGAAATTTCATGAGGTTTGAGAGGCTTTTAAAAGTTTTAAATATTTAAAATTTTAATACTGAAGTGCTGCATTTATTTGTTGATTTATTTATGCTTTATGATAGATGGACACAGCTCACAGTGCTTGTTAATACTACATCTCATTGAAAGGCATTTGGAAATTAGGGCACCCTTATCTAGCTTAGTATCTCCAAAAGTACTGGAGCACAACAGGGAATTGAGGGAGTTTCCAGTGCCTCTAGAGCAGGGGTGTCAAACTCGCATCATCACAGCGTCATCATGTGACATATTGGGACTTTTTCCACCTTTGTTAAACTGGGTTGTGGTGGGGCCAGTATGTGACACATCTGGCCTGCAAGTCACGAGTTTGACAGCCCTGCTCTAAAGAATACCAGATTGAGAATGCTGAACAAGGGGACAGAGTTTATAGGAAGGCACAACTTTTCTTCAATTAATCATTCTTTCATTGGATTTCTTTTTGTTATTTGTATTTTTTTTTGAGAACTTCCTTTGCTCTATATCCCAACATTCTTCTGCTTTCTGTAGTGGTAGTCAAACTTGATGATTTAAATGCAGCCATTCTAATTACCTTAGAATGTGACGTAGTTTTTGAATCTGAGTAGGAAAAAAATGCGGACATAAAAAAAAATACAGCAAGTGCCTCCTTGAGTAATTCTTGGAAAATAAATTGTTGAATTGAGAAAGTAAACTGGAATAACAGTTGAAATCTGCTCTATACTGGCTGCTGAAGAAAAGTAAATTTCCCATTATGAACTGGGTAAATATAAAACAAGCTTATTCATTGTTTGTGGTAGCTATACAAAGTTTTCTATTGATTCTACAATGAACGACACTGCAAACATTCTATGCCGCCATTCCATGCCTTTTCTTGTCTGGCATCTGAGAACACCTGATAGGGGAAGGTTGATAATGCAGGCATCATATTTCTGCACCCAGACTAGCACTAATTAATTTTTTCTTGTCTCTTTGGAAACAGCACCTTGTTCTGAGAAATGGTACACAATTCTTGTTCAATCTTAGATGAGTGTGACGCCAAAGACTGACCAGCCTAGCAAGGGACAGAAGGCCAGTAAGGTGTGGTTATTGGAGGGGTGGCAGAGAACAGTTCAGGTGAGCAGACCTGTTGGATCACATTCTTCCAGGAAGCTGCCAGGAAGTGGCTTGTTAAAAATTTAATTTGCGTGCTCCTAGATTTTCACTGAAGCAAAACTGGAGTGTTACAGGCTGGAAACTGCCTTCTTCCTTGGAATTGAAGCAGGGGCTCTGCTTCAGTATGAGAACTGCCTTTATTTTCTATGTCTTTGTCACGCTTTCTCTAACACAGGGTAAGTAAGTTGGCCCTTGGTGTGTTTGTGTATTGGAATATTCTTTATTGGCCAAGAATGATTGTTCATATAAATAATTTTTCTATGGTGCATAAACTCCCAGTATGTGTTTATAATATCCTGTTTCTCTGAATTAAGCAAGGAAGTTACTGATATACAGCAGATATCTCAGAATACGCCTTCTAATGAGAAGGGACTTGGATTACAACGGTGCAATTCCTGTACTTGAATTTTATTTTTAGGACTATGAAGCTAGTGATCAGACCATCTCTTCCACACCAGGCAGTATTTCTTTAGGAACACTTTGCATTTGCACATATATTGTTAGGATGATCACAAACCAGCTCAGGAATGTGATCTAGCAGATGAAAGATAGTGAAGGGATATCTGTGTCCTTTCTTTCATCTTTTCCAGAGGTAAGTCCATGAATATTTTAAGGACTTCATTTTTATTTGGCATGGGATTGAAACAAAAGTAGGCAACGGACGTGTCTCTATGTTTGCAAAGCTTGTTCCACTGGGGTCTGTAATCAACATTTCAGAGCAGCATGGTTTTTAAAAAAAATCTGAAATAAGGTATATTTATGCATGCATATTGAAAAAGGTAAGATCAAGGAGGGAAACTGATGATGGCGACATTCTTAGGTTTCAATCCCTAAGCTCTTAATCTATAGTTTTTATCTATGTAAGTACCCTGACAATGGTTGCCAGTTGTCCTTTCAGTGGTTGGCTTGCCTTGCATACTGGAATCAAATTGTTTTAAAATGGGAACAGCCAGCTCTTTTTTTCCCTCTTTCACCCAGTACATTTCATTGGAAAACTTACTTTGCTAATGCGGGCAAAGATATCTAAGTTTATGAGCATGTGTATGTAATAAATGCCTTTTTGGGAGGTTGTAAAATTCTTTGAAATCCTCTAATCCAGAAAGGTGAGGCGATCTTCTATTTCAACAGGGTTTCATGTTGACCTTTCATTTCTCAATTAAGTCAAATATTCCCATGACTTTTATGAGGTCCTCAGCTGTAATAGAATTGAATACCCTGGCCTTCCATAATGAGAAATCAATATCTGTGATTAGTGCAGATTAGGTGTGTATTTTTAATTCTTTCACATTTGAACTGAAGCATACCCACCTTTTGCAAAAAAAAAAAAAAGCTTCATGAAGAGTTTATTGGATCCTGACCATTTTCTCTGATTAATTGTTTTTTTAAAATATGTTGCATTTTTTTATATACTCTTGTGTCTCTATTTTAACTACCAAGAAAAAAAGCAAGAGCTCTCCCCATTCTTGCAAAATCTATTAGCCACAGAAGTTGCATAAAACTTAGAATAAATTAGAGATATCACAAACTTTAGGCAAAGTAATTAACTTGTGGATGTGAGAGTTCCCATGACTGAATGTGCTATTATGTCAAGTTAAACACGTGACCCATATAAAGGTAGTATATTAGTGAAAATGATTGTGCCTTAGCTTTTTCTCTAATAATGTACCTTAGCTAACAAATTTTTTTCATTACAAATAATGATATTTACTTCTACACATCTTCGTACAGAATTATGGTACTAATTGCATTGAAATCTATAGGACTGATGTTATGATTAATTTATAGAATGGAATTCAGTTAATTTTAATTTTCATTTGTTGCTATATTTGAGTGTTTTTGTTTGAGAGCATCTTGTTTGCTAGGTGTTTTTTTTAATTGAGCAAAAACCCTTTTTGGAGTTTCGGAATAATTTTTGGGGGGTCATGGGGAAGGAATGCATACTATAAATAAAAGCAAAAGCAGAAGCAAGTAGTTTGAATTCCACACTTTACCAGACATGAGTCCAGATCAAAATTGTGTGTGTTCATATCTGCATGTATATAAGCCTACCTTGATGGCAATGCATATGTACAAAAGTGGGTACATATTTTTGAAGTAAGCAAGATACTTCCTTGTACCCATTTCATGAAGTTATTCCACATACTAGCAAGGCTGGTTCTTAAATGCTGACTTAGCAGCTGCAAGCTCAATGCATGCTTTGTTTTAAGTGTATTTAAAAAGTGCTCAAGGCTATTCAATTCCAGATGAAGAGCTATTTGTAGAAAAAGAAACTTACTGATTTGGAAGGAGAAAGGTTTTGCTAATCTTTCCTGTTATTCCAAAAAATTATAGATACTATGGAAATGTTCCAGCCTAGAAATGTAAGTTGGAAAGGTTGTGGAGGAAGAACAGGGAATCTAAAAGGATTAATTGTATATTTTCTAGGCAAATATTCCATCAACAGCACAGACAGGTTTTTCAGAACTCTACAAATGCGAACAGAATTAATAAAGAGCAGAGGAACGTCTGCAGAGAAAAACAACGAACAATTCCACAATCCTTCTTCAAAGGATTGATGAACCATTCCTTGTTAATGGATAAGCTGCTGTTCAAACTCTCTCCTTCATTCTAGCCTTTTATGGACAAACCAAAGTTTAAGAGAAGTTGAACTTTCTGTGCCCCAAGACAAATCTCCCAGAGGAGGTGCCTAGTGGTGAAAGAATTTATGTCTCAGTGTCCTTGAGCCAAGTGGGACAACTGAGGAAGGTCAGGAGAAAGGAAAGAGTTTAACGTGGCAGCTTCAGGTGCCATCATTCTAACAGCAGGGCTAGTCCTTCAGAAAGTAGCTGTTGCTGGACTATTAGAGGTTTCTCTTTGCCTTCCATTCAGGATATGACCACAAATATGTACAGTACATCCCTTATGTGCCTGCGGTACGTATCCCTTCCTCTCAGTAGCACTTTCCTTTCTGAAACATTTTGACATAGAAGTGATTTAGTATGCTTGGTTGACAGCTTGGTTGAGGGTTCAGTCAAGGCTGGGTTCTGCTCACCTTCGATTGGTCACTTTTGCTATTTCATGTATTCCTCCTACACTCTGATTGGGGGCATTTTCATTTTGCCTTTGGTTCCTGGGGGGGGGGGGACGACTCCACACCTGCCTTCATTTGAGAACAATATTATTCACGCTTGTTAGATACATGAGTTTAATTCTCTTTCAAGAGAGGGTGAGATCTGCATGAAAAAGGGACTCTTAAAAGTGATAGTTCTGTGCTGCATGTGATCTAAACCAGGAAGAAGAACTAGGACCTGTCAAAGAAGTTTCCTAACAGTGAGAACAATTAACCAGTGGAACGATTTGCCTTCAGAAGTTGTGGGTCCTCCATCACTAGAGGCTTTTAAGAAGAGATTGGACAGCCAGCCACCTAACTGGAATGGTATATGTTCTCCTGCTTGAGCAGGTGGTTGGATTAGAAGGGACTCCAAGGTCCCTTCCAATTCTGTTATTCTTAACTGCATGTTACTCGTTTGGTTAACAACATGAGCAATTGCAGGCTTTTCATTACTTCTCCAGTTAAAGCTGTTTTGTCTTATTGAATGGGCAGCACTATTTTCTTACTCCACCAATTACTATACTTCAGGGTGTGTCTACCACAACCACTTGCTGCCAATGCTGCTGTTCCCTTTCTGTACAAGCTGAGGACAAAGCTCGGTTTTTAATATTTCTCTTCCTGCTTCACCCTATGCCCCACCTCCATGTCTGTGGCTGTCAGACAGGTTACTTTGGGGCAATAGCAATAGCACTTAGCCTGATATATTTTATAGACTTTACAGCCTGCTCTAAGCGATTCATGGTTTACAGAGTCAGAATGTTGCCCCCAACAATCTGGATCCTCATTTTGCTGGTTTTGGAAGGATGGAAGCCTGAGTCAACTTTGAGCCAGTCAGGATTGAATTCCTGGCAGTGGAATGCAGTTAGCTTGCAATACTGCATTCTAATCACTGTGCCAGACTGCTCCTACCAGAAAAGCATTACATCTGTATTCAGGAATAAGGTGATTGTCAGATACTTGGTTCAGATTACTGTTGTCGCTGTGACATGTTAATTATAAAAGGAATAACTAAAATGGCTGTTCTGCCCATCCACCTTTCTCTATTCCAATATCAGCATACATTAGGGGAAAAATTAGGGCTCCTGCCCTCTCTCTCCTGATGATCAAATGGAACAGAAACAAAATTTGGTGAAGCTGTCAATAGACAATATAGGACTCGGCAATTAGGACCAGGAAACTTCCTACCTCTCAGGACATTTCTGAGTCTACAAGTAATTTTTAATTTACAATGGCATTTGGGACCAGAATTTCCATCACTAAGAGGTACAGTTGTAAAATGCAACATGACATGACAATATTGCTTAATGAAGGAAATTTGGGAATTTCTGACTGCTGCCCTAAGTGACTGCCATAATGTCATTAAGCTTGATGTCACATGGCCATCATTTCTGACTTCCTGCTGGTTTCCCCATTGACCTTGCTTGCCTGAAGCTGGGAAGGTTACAAATAGTAATCACATGATTATGGTATGCTGCGGCCATTGTAATTATGAGCTGGTTATTGATCATCTTGACCAGTGGTGGGATTCAATTTTTTTTACTACCGGTTCTGTGGGAATGCCTTAGTGGGTGTGGCATGGCTTTGGTGGGTGTGGCTTGGTGGACGTGATAGGGGAAGATTGCTGCAAAATCCCCATTTCCTCCCAATCAGCTGGGACTCGGGAGGCAGAGAATAGATGGGGACGGGGACAGTCAGAGGTGGTATTTGCCAGTTTTCCGAAGTACTCAAAATTTCTGCTACTGGTTCTCCAGAATTGGTCAGAACCCACTGAATATCACCTCTGATCTGGACTAAAATCAAGGATGCTGCAACACCTGGAATCAAGACAGGTCATAAGTACCCTCAGTCAGTGCTATCCTTTTTTTCTGGGAAAAGAACAGGTGACACTGGCCTCCACAGATCTCTTTCCTGTCACTAATTCTGCCTTTTGTTCTAGAAAAAAAATTCTTCTGGAAAAAAAAGCCAACATTGCTCCATAAAAGTATGAGACCACTCTGAACTATATATGACACATATTTTTCTAGCCAGCGGTAGTAAATATTACAAATACTCCAACTTCTAAAGTTGCCAACTCATTTTGGTTTGTTGTTTTATTCTTAATTTTCAGGATACACATTCAGCAAAAACCATTCAGCGTCAATGATAACAAGCTAAATGAGTGATTTCTCTCCCCCCCCTTTATTTGACATCAGTTCTAAGGCAGATGGGTGTTAACTGTTGTTACCTAAAAGTTACTTTGTATAGTATTGGCACATTCTTTTTCATAACAGTTTAGATTTTTCTTCCTGGTTCTTTTGCCTAACTGTCCGGTTCTCCAACTTTACATATGTTTTTGTTTTCCTTCTTCGTACAGGTGCTCTGAAAAATGAAATTGAAAATAGTGAGTATCGACTTAAACTAAATAACTGCTTAAGTGTTCATTTGGCAGCAAACATGGACTTTTTAAAATTGTAACTGCCTGTAAAAACAACTTGCTTTATCTGGGGTATAATGCTTCTGTTGCTATAATTAAAAGTTTTGGGGATATCAAATTTATCTAATCAGTGCCAAAATATTTTACAGATAACTATTGACATAGCCAAGCCTTTGTTATGAAGCCTTTTAGCTTTTGGGCTGATGGTGGATGATTTCAGAGAAACCATTAAAAATGTTGAAAGAGATCATTGGAGAGATAATTGCAAGCTATTGGTTTGTTTGGTTCTTTGTGTATTGTTTTTATAACCTGCAAGCCAACAGAGACAGCAGTTAGCTAATCTTAAAAAAGCAAAGCATGTCCTGATCTTCTTTGAACTTGATTTGGAAAACCATCAAAATATAGAGCTGTAGGATAAACAGGGGAAAAAGGCAAAAGGCATCCTAGAGGAAGAAAATTAGTCTACTCCATACCATTGCCAAGAATATGACATGGATGTGTGATTTAAGTCAAGGAAGATTTTACCTATTCCACTTTGCACTTTATCTAAAGGTGTTGTGAAATACAAATCGGCCCCATAAAATCTATTTCATTAATACTTGGGGATCTGGGTGTTGGCAAAATGTTCCACAATTAAAGATGATAATTATAATAAATTAGTGTTACAAATAAAGAAAGATTTAGAAAATTGGAAAAATATTCCGCTCTCACTCATGGGACGTATAGCAACAATTAAAACAAATATTTTACCAAGAATCTTATTCCTGTTGCAAGATGCACCTATTGATCCGGGTAAAAAATTCTTTCAAGAATTAAACAAAATAACCACTAGGTTCATTTGGCAGGGATGAAAAGCAAGGATTAAACTAAAGTCAATGCAAGACAGCAAGGAGAGGGGAGGCTTAGCATTACCGAATTAAGATTTATACGCATCAGCAGTAACAATAAGATGGGTGAATGATTGGATAGAGCTAAAGAATAAAATAATTTTGACCTTAGAAGGCCATGATTTGCAAACAGGCTGACATACAT